CCCAACCATTTAGTTTTCTGTGATCAATTAACAAAATTAACAATTAACTTAAACTTTGCTACGTTTCTTGGGCCTCGGAAACAATTTACATCCGTCCCAATCGATTCTCTCCTCCATACCTAAAATAACTCCGTCATAAAAAGGAGCGTGCCTTCAAAATGCATAAGCGCAATGAGGTGCGCTCTCCTTCTAAACCCATCAGGGTCGAACTTCGAAGACTAAACTCTTTACGCCCGTGCTCGGCTTGAAAAAAAAGATAGTTGTGAGACCTGGTATGCCCTCATACGAATTTCTGGCATCAAATCCTCACACCGCGCACCTGCTGCTGAGGGCACAGATGACCTGAATCAGAGTTTCAACAGTGGAACTACTCTCACTGCTCTACCTAATGGATATGAAATAAACATAATTGATCCTGTCGCCAGTGTTGCATCTATCGATATTCATCAAAAGTTGGCCCGATTATTCATTCCAAGTTCCATGGCCCTGATGGAGTCTCACCCGTTATCCTAAAAGAATGTGCTGCCTTCCTTTCCCCTGTACTGAGTGAACTTTTCAATAATTGTATTTCGCAGCAACGTATACCTGACTGCTGGAAAATAGCCTCAACGACCCCTGTACCGAAGGAAGTTTCCTCAAAATTTCATTCCATTGCCTGCACCACAGTTTTGAAGGTGTTTGAGAGGTTCCTGATTAAAACCGTATTCACGCAGTTCAATGTTGGTGACCCGAACCAGTTTGCATACACCCATTCCCACGGTACACTGGATGTCCTTGTTTATCTGTCCCACTTTGTTTTATCCAACCTGGATGAGAAAAGCAAGGCTGTACGCATGCTTTCAAGACTATAGTGATGCTTTCGACATAATTGATCGGCAAATATTGCTAAATACCCCCTCTTCAGGAGTTCTTCAACCTCTTACGATTTAACTCCTGGTCAACTATTTCTCCAACCATCAGCAGTTCACACGCTGCAAAGGTCGTACATCTTCACTGCTGCCTTTATTACAATTCGTACTGCAGGGTGCTATTTTATCCCCTTTTCTATTTTTCGCTTACTTTAACTCTATGCCTGTGGGTAATTCTTCTGTTCTTGCTAAGTATGCAAATGATATAATATTCGGACTTCCCTACTACAACCCACCCTGTCAGACTACTCAACCAGATGATATGTCAGAAATAGTGGAGTGGTCTTATCAAAGGAACCTCCGCAATGATGCACTATTTTTCCTTTTTGAAAGGGCAAAAGTATGATGAATTGTCCAATTCCAATCCGCCATTATCTATTTTCAGTGACCAGATGGATCGACAACCCTCTGTCGAATAACTTGGCGTTATTTTCAGTCATAACCTCACCTCTGACCACGTCAATGACGTCTTTCTGAAGGTCAGGAGGCTCACGTTTTATTTTACGTCTTGAATCACTTTCTGTCCCAAACCATCTGATAAGGAGTTTTGTTTTGCTTGCCATTTGCCCCACTGGCTTTATGGGTCCCCTGTTATTTTCCCGTCCTTTAAATAAGGACCTCAAACTCATTTTCTGATCCCTCAAGTTTCTGTCAGTTTGTAGTCTTATACCACGGCAACATCTGATACGGCATGTGGTCACACACCACCTCAAGTCCTGTAAAACATTCTCCAATAAGATTTTATCCGATATTTCCCATCCCCTTTATGCTGCTGTTAGTCAGTGCCTTTCTCACTCATTCACCCGTTCCACTCACAACCTTATAAAGGCACGCAGTGAAGCTTACAAGCACTCTATGGTACCGTATCTCGCCAGATTTCTAACAAACCATGAACTTGTTGCAGGAAATCTGCGCAAAATGTTAAATTAAACCAATTACAAACATCCAGATGTGCCATTGGTTTCTGATGTTGCAGTCCTTTTTCACGTCTTTTAATTGCTGTATTCTAATGTTTTTTTCCACTTTTTGTTGACACACTGCAAAAATCGATTAGTGCGTTGAGCTAGATTTTGGGAGTGTATCAAATGTTGCACTTGGCACAGCACAAATCCAACGGTAATAAACAATGCAACACTCAATGGTTCAACGTAGCCCAACAAAAGTACTTAGAC